GTGTGTTTGTGTCGGTAAATATATATATATATGTGTGTGTGCATATATATATAGTATGTATGTATTTGTGTGTGCATATATATATATAGTATATATGTACGTGTGTATATACATATATGCATGTGCGTGTGTCTAACAGTGTGCCTTTAAGGTGGCTTCGTGTACCTGTCCCTGGCGTGTAGTGTTATGAGCTTCCTATGTGTGCCTGTGGTTCCTCTGAAATCCCCTTGCTTGCGTGAGTCATAACTTAGTGCACCTGTGCTGTCTTCCGGTCTACGGGTGTCGGACATTAGATATTCGGTACGTACAGAGGGTATTTCTGGGGCGGGAGAATGGAATACATGTGTGTAGTGCTTCTCTCTCCCGCTGTACAGCCAGCCTGCTTGTGTATAGTCCTTCTGCTATAGACAACTGGCTGATGGCTCATATTACTATCACACTCCGTTGTCGGTCACACTTGACTTACATTTTAATGGCTGTATACACAACTCCAATACAAGTCCAGGCGCAGCATTAACCTATCTCTGCACATATTACACCTTGTTGCGTAGGTAGCGTCTGTGTGTGCCATCCGTGTCATCACTTGTATACAGATCGATTGACACCCCCCCACACACATTCACTGTTTCGTAACACACAGCAAGGACTGATACCCTCGTGGCGTTTCTTGATCAAGAACATGTGCGCTCTCGACAAGCACGTGCTGACCGACATCATAGGTGAGTATCGTTGGTACCTATACATAGCCACAGAGATATCAATATATATATATATATATGTGTGTGTGTGTGTGTGTGTATGTACGTTCAAAACTAACTATCTTAAGTGGGCTTCAATAGCACCAATGTATAGCCACAGTATATCAATATAGAAGTATGTACGTCCAAAACTGAATATCTTAGGTGGGCTTCTATAGTACCTATGTATAGCCACAGAGATATCAATATATACATATGTACATCCAAAACTAACTATCTTAGGTGGGCTTCATTACCTATACATAGCCACAGATAAATCTATATATACGTATGTACGTCCAAAACTAAATATCTTAGGTGGGCTTCAATAGTACCTATGTATAGCCACAGATATATCTATACATACGTATGAACGCCAATACTAAATATCTTAGGTGGTCTTCATTGGTATCTATACATAGCCACAGATATATCAATATATATGTATGTGCGTCCAAAACTACATATCTTAGGTGAGCTTCATTGGTATCTATACATAGCCACAGATGTATCAAAATATATGTATGTACGTCCAAAACTAAATATCTTAGGTGACTTCACTGGTACCTATGTGTAGCCACAGATAAATCAATATATATGTATGTACGTCCAAAACTATATATCAGGGGTAAGCTTTGTTGATTGTGTTATAGGTGAACTCCATTGCGTGTGTTGTAGGTGAGTCTCGATGATTGTATTGCGGGTGAGTTGCATTGATATCTACAGCCAGCCGTATCTATCTGCGCACATATGTCTGTTACGACCCATTGTGAGTTGTGAGTAGGTATCAAAATACTTTGGCGTAGATCTCAATCGGTGGGCTCGGCTGTGTGTGGTTTGTCAGAGAAGTGGTGACTCATAGACCAGTCAAATGTCCTTACGTTCACTCGCATATATTGCTCATTACATCGCACTCTAGCATCGAGTTTGTGCTAGTCCACTTACCATCCCACGCGCGCCGTCTCGTCTCACCATTTGTCCACTTTTACACTCAAACCAAGTTTTTCCTCATCCTCCATGCGTAAACTCTCGCCTCAGAACAAACCAAGACAAGCAGCGGCCAGTCCACGCTCAATATCTTCTCCTCGCAAGCCCAAGAACTGGACAGCAAGAGCCGTTTGGTCAAACGCACAGCCTTTGTCATCTACTGCGGCACGCAAGACGAGTACTACCAAGACATCCCCGCCATCATGGAATGCATTGTCGACTGTCTCAGGCCACCCAGCTCACCCGTGGTGCAGGTGAGAGAGAGCGTGTGTGTGTGTGTGTTTTCATGTGTGTGATTATCTGTGCAATATTGGTTATACATACGGGTGTATACATACGTATAGACGTGTGTAAATGTGTATATGTGTATGCGATTATGTGTGTATATGGGTGTCTGCATGTACCAGTCTTTCATCACCTGTAATTGCATTAATTGTATATTTCACGTATATGTAAGTATTATTTACAACTAAATATATATGTATGTATGTATGTATGTATGTATGTATATATATATATAAATGTATGTATATATTGCCGTGCCTAACCGGCTATTGTAGTCCTCGCCACTCAACCATAATTTAGGTATGTGCGTGTCGATGTGCTTGTGAATATAGCGACTGTCCTCACAGATACACAGTAGTTATTTATGGGTGATCGTAACAATATCAATTCTTTGAGGTGACTTTTGTTGTTGACAACACATTATGGCTTGGAATTTAGGGTGTAGTATATTTAACCCGCGGGTGTTAAAAGGTATTTTATGTATGTCGTATTGTCTTAGGGTTTTAGAGTCACTCGGCTGGTTGCTTGCATATGATCGGTAGTTATTTATAGATAGCCACTACGGGCTATCCGTCAAGTCTGAACCTGGTCGGATTGCGGCCGTCCTGGCGGCTCGTTGCGTGGCGATGATTGATTGGTTGCTATTTATAGAACTCCACTGCCGTGCTAACGCCCGTGTTTGTTGTCTGTATGTTACAGGAGCGTGTGTTCTTGCTGTTCAGGATTATGCTGCTGCGAATGAGCGAGCAACACCTCTTAGCCTGGTGGCCCACAGGTAAGACGCACTGCACAGAAGCACTACTCCCCACCCCACACAGTTATTAAGCATGTTGTGGTGGTATTGAACATGTGATGTTGTTATTAAGCATTTTGTGGCGGTATTAAACATGTGATGTTGTTATTAAGCATGTTGTGGTGGTATTAAACATGTGATATTGTTATTAAGCATGTTGTGGCGGTATTAAACATGTGATATTGTTATTAAGCATGTTGTTATGTTTTTATTAATCATGTTATGGTTATTAAATGCTATGTTGTTATTAATCATGTTATGTTGTTATTATTCATGTTGTGTTGTTATTAATCATGTTATGTTGTTATTAATCATATTATGTTGTTATTAATCATGTTATGTTGTTATTAATCATGTTATGTTGTTATTAATCATATTATGTTGTTATTAATCATGTTATGTTGTTATTAATCATGTTATGTTGTTATTAATCATGTTATGTTGTTATTAATCATGTTATGTTGTTATTAATCATGTTGTGTTGTTGTTAATCATGTTATGTTGTTATTAATCATGTTATGTTGTTATTAACCATGTTATGTTGTTATTAATCATGTTATGTTGTTATTAATCATGTTATGTTGTTATTAGTCATGTTATGTTGTTATTAATCATGTTGTGTTGTTATTAAACATGTTGTCATGTTGTTCTTAAGCATGTTGTTATGTTGTTGGTAAGCTTGGCAATCCATTGATTTGTGAGCTTAGCGTTGTATTTGTGTGCAAAGAGAATGTGAACTGCGCACATAGACAACGTGCATGTACCCACACACAGTAGGCAGTCGGTTCACGTTGTTATTAGTCTAGTCACAGATAGTATTGTTTATGTTTGCCCCAGCCAAACCCGTTGTGTTGTGCACTCGCTGTAGGTTACCGCTATCTGTCGGAGACATTGTACACGTTTCGTACTTAAATCAAAACTGGGCAATTGGAGTCCGTCCACAGCCCACAATATTTGTGTACCTGCCCCGAATTAGGGCCAAATCTGTCCTGGATCCATGTACCTCGGCCTACTACCTGTTGGTGGGGAGGTATGGCTTTTGTCGGTGCTCCATGCCCTATACTTCTGGGTCACTGCTCTGATCTATGTCCTCACTAATTGCCCATTACCAACAACACCCCACAGCCCTGACGGAAGTGGTGCGCGTGCTGGACCGTGCGCTCACGCAGTGCCGTAACCATGGCAACGGACCCTTGGCCTCCGCGTCTGCGATGAACCGCAACTCGACGTCGAGTCTAAGGACGTCGCCAGTGACCACTAAGCGTTCCATGGGCCACATGGATCTGTTCACTCCCGATGATTTGCACCTGTTGCTGGGCGCCTGCAAGTTTGTGGACTTGATGATCCTGTTGCCAGGTGTGTTCGTGTGTGTGTGTGTGTGTGTGTGTGTGTGTGTGTGTGTGTGGACTTGATGATCCTGTTGCCAGGTGTGTGTGTGTGTGTGTGTGTTTGAGTTTGTAGACTTGTTTGTTCTGTTGCCAGGTGTGTGGCATGGTGTCGTGTGTGTGTGTGTGTGTGTGTGTGTTCGAGTTTGTGGACTTGATGATCCTGTCGCCAGGCGTGTGACATGG